ATAAAACACAGTGATGTGATATTATGATGAATAATATCAGTCATTAAGAGCCATTTCTAATTTCAAAGTAGCCCTTCTGCCATTATATATTTTCTCAATCAAAAATTAGTCATTCAAGGTTATACAGCTAATTAGTGGCAGAATCCTTGAAAGGCATACAGAGAATTTACACTCAATCTAGTAGGCAGTACTCAGTTAATAAGTCAATTAACAAATGTTTGTTAAGTGTCTACTAAATTCAAGGCACAAAGAAGTACAAAGATTCTTTGAACAATGAGTTCTATGTTTTCTTTTGATTTTAAATCTTTATTGAAGCATATCCATACAGAAAATTGCACCTAACCCAAGTGTGTAGTTAGGTAAAATTTCACAGCTGATCACACTTTGGAGCAACAGGCCCAGAACAAGTTCCCTGTAGCCCCGAAGCGTTGCTCACCTGCTCCTGATACCCACATCCCCAGGCGCTTGGCGGCTTGTGTTCCAGTTCTTATTTGTGTCTGATCTGAGTGGGAACATAGGCAGGACACATTTCTTGGTGGCCCATGCCTGCCCCAAGGTGTGCTTTTCAGGAACCTGTCAGGTGGGAGACGCTCAGGCTGGAGTGCTGCCTGGAGATGAGAGGTGAGTGGTTGACGGGGGAGGGTAGGTCTTGGGGAGAAAAGTGGGCGGGGCTTGGGCCTCGGGCTTGTGTATATGTGATGATGACAGGATTACCTTTTGTAGCTGGCCGAGTGCTAGCACCAGCAGTTTGCTCTGAGAGCTTTAGACTTCAGCTCCTTTAGATGTAGTGTTCTGAGTGTTAGGAAATGCAGAAGGATCATACCAAAAACCTTAACGGAAGGAAAAAGAAAAAACAAAAACAAGTTTTCCACAAATGCCATTACCATTTGCTTTTCCCATCCACCCACTTCATGATCACATCTGCTTCCCAGAAGTGTATGGGCTCTTTCCCAGGTTCTCTTCAGACAGCAGGAGCCCAGTAGCACTGGCGAGTCACTCAGTAAGATGGACTCACTCCACCTGCAGCCCGGACGCCCAGACTTCTTCATGCACGTGTTTTAGCTACAGTTTGACTACAGCGTCACACACACCATTATTGTCTTCATTTCTTCTCCTCTCCCACTCTTACTCTTTGAGGGGAACAGTTAACTATGTGTCTTGCTTGCAGATTGGAGTTGACAGTCTCACTCAGTTGGTCCCCTCCTGTGGATCACGGGCACTGTGTCTGAGGCCAGGGAAGGGGTGTCGGGCAGCCTCTGCTGAGGCGGTTCCCGTGGTTCTCTGGTTACCATGTCCCTGTCCCCGCGGCGTGATTCAGAACCGCATGCACGAGGTGCAGTGCACGGCGGACCGCATGGGGAAGATGGTTCCCTTGTCTGCAGATGCTGTGTGTCCGCAGGCCCCCGTCTGCCGCCTCCCACGCCTGCCTCACTCTCCTCCATGAGGCCCTCCATGTGGCCCGCAGCAGTTTGAATGGTTTCTGTGTGTGAAAACTGGCTTTTACTTCCCTGTGCTTTGTGCATCCACATGGATGCCCCCACCTTGTTATGTTTGGGAACCTGATCTGTCCCTGTCCCTTGCTAGTCTTGGTTCAGGTTGCAGCTCACTTGACTGAGGTTGTTTTAAGGCCCTAGAACTGTGTTCCTACTGAACAAAGAGAAGATTGACATTAAACTTAGCACCAGTGTTCCAGAGATGTTATTTAGAACCTGGTTTTCACCACTTTGTCCTTAGCTCCCAGAGCTGGTGAGCAGCTCTGGTTATGTATTAGTTTCCAAAAGTGGAGGGCCTGACACTTCTGTATTAAAAAGTCTCTGGTTACTTTGATATATCTATGGGTGAAGGTCCCTTTGACCTATAGAACCTCATTACTTAATTTGGTGAGTAATTTTTAAAAAAGTAACACACATAGTTAGAAAATTAAATAGCACTAAATGCCATAATAAGAAAAGCCTAAGCCAGGAGCCGGTGGCTCATACCTGTCATCCTAGCTACTCAGGAGGCTGAGATCTGAGGATTCCCATTCAAAGCCAGCGTGGGCAGGAAAGTCCGTGAGACTCTTATCTCCAATAAACCACTAGAAAACCAGAAATGGCGCTGTGGCTCAAGCGATAGAGCACTCGCCTTGAGCTGAAGAACGCAGGGACAGCGCCCAGGCCCAGAGTTCAACCCCCACGACTGACCAAAAAAAAAAAAAAACACCCAAACCCTCCACTTCCAACAGCTCTGATCTCCAATTGGTTCCTCTGATTGTACATGCTTACAGATTTCCTAGTTATTTCTAAATTTTCTGTGAACCTATGATAAACTTGCTTTTCTACATGTATTACGGTACATCTTCCAGACGCTATCAGAAAACTTCACAGTTCTCAATCCATTTCCCTCCTTTTGTTGTTCTTTGAGACACTCTGGGCTCCTGTCTCTAGACCTGGTACTTGGGACTCTGAGCCAGTCCTCCTGTCCTCCCTGTCCTGTTTCCTGCTCTTTTGTTATTTTCTTCTGTGGTTTGCAAGAAAAGGACAGGAGACACAGATTTACATATGCATATATGCCTCTATTTTATTCTCTTGAAGTTGAATATTAGATTTAAATTGTTTTCCTGGAGAATTCTGAAGGCCTTGATGCATCTTGTCTGTTTTCATGTTGTTAGGAAGCCCAGAGCTCCCCATCACTGATCTGATCCCCTGTGTGTGAGCTGATTCTTGTTTTTAGCAAGGTGATTATGAAGCGTCTGGATTTGGATTTCCTTGGCTTTATCCTGTTTGTGGCTCATTGAGTTTCTTGAATGACAAACTGGGGGAGTTTTTAATGATGCTCTCATTCTGGGACTCCAGTGACAGGCTGACAGAACCTCCATCTTTCCTCATTGCCCGCAGCTCCCTGCAGGCTCTTTTCCTAGGCGCCATTTACTGTCTACAAAGAGAAATCTTACAGTCTTCTACCAAGGTGGGATTTTACAGTGGGTGGCTGAGACAGGGGGAAGAGTGGCTGATGAGTAAGTATGTGGATTTGTAATTGTGGATTGCATTTTTGGGAAGAGGTGGTAATTAAACAAGGAGATAGACAATCCACACAATCCAGGAATGCTCCAGAGAAAACACTACCAACGATGTTGGCTTGATACACTCAGGGTTTCCATGGCTAGATGGTAAAGCACAGAATATTAGTTTAAGGCAAAGATGGCAATAGCTATGGAAGGCTAGGGCAAGGGGAGCAGAGCTGAGCAGGCAAGGGGAGAAAGAGCCTCACATGGAATCAGGAAATAGCGGCCAGGTTCAAGAGGTTGCTTCTGAGGGGTGGGGCGTGGGATGAGCACTTCTGTTTTAAAGTCTTGTGATGTTCTGTGACTTCTTTTTGTGGTGCTAGTGATTTTACTCAGAGCTTCACACTTGCTAAGCGAATGATCTGTTACTTCAGCTACACCCTAGTCCTCTCTGATTGCTTTGCTTTTTTTTTTTTTTTTTTTGGTTGGCCATGGGGCTTGAACTCTGGGCCTGGGCACTGTCCCTCAACTCGTCAGCTCAAGGCTAACCACTTGAGCCACAGTGCCACTTCTGGTTTTCTGGTGGTTTAGTGGAGATAAGAGTCTAACGACAAGGGGGCTGGGAAGGTGGCTCAGTGGTAGAGTGCATGCCTGAGGCCCTGGGTTCGATTCTTCAGCACCACATAAGCAAAAACAAAAAAGCCAGAAGTGGCGCTGTGGCCCAAGTGATAGAGTGCTAGCCTTGAGCTGAAGAGCCCAGGGACAGCACCCAGGCCCAGAGTTCAGGCCCCATGACCGGACTCAAAAAGAAAAAAAGAGTCTAACGACTAAGCTGGGTGCCGGTGGTTCACACCTGTAATCCTAGCTACTCAGGAGGCTGAGATCTGAAGATCGCGGTTCAAAGCCAGCCGGGCAGGAAAGTCCATGAGACTCTTATCTCCAATAAACCACTAGAAAACGGGAAGTGGTGCTGTGGCTTAAGCGGTAGAGTGCTTGTCTTGAGCTGAAGAGTGCAGGGACAGCGCCCAAGTCCAGAGTTCAAGCCCCACGACCGACCAAAAAAAAAAAAAAAGGAAAGTCTCACGACTTTCCTGCCCAGGCTGACTTGGAACCGTGATCCTCAGATCTCAACCTCCTGAGTAGCTAGGATTACAGAAGTGAGCCACTGGTACTTGGCCTCTCTGATTTCTTAAGCCAACATTACTGAGTTTCTAAAGCCCCAGACCCTGACTGAGAGGGGTTGGGAGCTTTCCACATAGCTGGGATGATAGATGTGCACTCTGTGTGTGGCTGTTGGTTGAGGTGGGATCTTGCAAGCCTTTTGCCCGGCTTGGCCTCTTGATCCCTGCCTCCCTAGTAGCTAGGATTACATTTGTGAGCCGATGGATCTGAGAATGAGATGTAGAAAGCCATCATGGCTCACTCGGTGAACCAGTATTTTGCAGTTGGGCAATGCCTGATGAGACAGGTGCTTGTGTGGAAGACCATGCAAGATCAGTCCAGGTCCATGGACGTGCTCTTGGACACCACACTGCCCAGTTGCTGCTGTTTCTGGAGGCTTGGTGTGGCATCAGTAGTTAAATGACTACTTAGGGTGCTCTGTTAACTTCATATGCACAGACTGAAGGCACAGGTTGCAGCTGGTGCATGTAGACCAGATAGGAGCCCAGCTGTGATCTGTTAACTAGTATTTAAAACATTTCCAAAAATGTTCAACAATGCTACTCTCCTTACTAATTTTTTGATACCAATTATTTTTCATAGTAGATATGCATGTTGTAATGTAGTGGCCTTATTATCTTTAAGTGAAAGAATAAAGAAATATTAACTACTTCTGTGGTAGTTCTGTGGGTGCAGTAGCCTCTTGGGGTGTCGCGGCAGTCCTGTGCACCTGGTTAAATGTGGATAAACGTAAGGAATGTGTCATCTGCCTTCGCAGGTTACTGAAGTGGGTTGTAGAAAAGCTTCATGAGGAGAAGAGCATGCATAAAGACTCTCCTTTTCATTGCCTCCACAGATCCTCTGTCCATGGGTCCTCAGAAAGCTCTGGAAACCATCGGTGCAAATTTACAGAAGCAGTATGAAAACTGGCAGCCACGGGTAAGCCTGCTTTACTCGCTCTCTCCTCTCTTTGAAACAGGGAAACCTCAATTCCGTGGTTTCAAGCCATCTTTGAATCCAAGGGGGAACTCTCTGGAGAGTGTCACCTCGTATAATCCGTGATTCCCCCCCCCCCCCCCCCCCCCCCCATGTGCGCGGCTGCACGCTCTGTGTGAGAGATGTATCATTTTTAATGACAACCCGTGCAGTATTGTGAGTCATGTAGCCAGTAGTCTGTCTGTTTTGTGTAATTTTCTTTATGTAAAGGAAAAATATGATTGGGGTTACTCTTAAATCATGGCTTTTATTCTGCACAGGAAATATATGTTTAGTAACTTCCATAACTGCACCGAGGTAGTTATCTTTCTTGCGTTCAGTTTTCAAGTAGGGGAGAAAAAAAGCATGGCGCCTTCAAAGGATGACACCTATTATGTGCTTAGCCTTTGATTCAGGAGGGAGGATTCTTTTCAGTGAGCCCGTTACCAATTAGTGTGTTTTTGTTGCTTATATCTGACAGCTTTTCTTTCTTTTCTCAAAAGCCACATAGCATATAACTGTGTCAAATTGCCTTTAAGATCATACTTACTTGTGAATAACCCAAAGACCTAGATCCTTTATCCTTTCTCATTAACTAGTTTGAAGATTTAATGGAAAATGGGAAATTTGGAATGTTTCTGGGAGAGCCTTGAAGTTAGCTTTGTGTGAGGCCTGGTTCTGGAATCGCCTCCCTAACTCACCTGTTAGGAAGCCGGGACGTGAAGCTTTGGCCTCACCTGTGTGCTCCTTTTCATTTGAGTCTTTCCTCTTGGCTAATGAATTACAGAACCTGCCCAACGCTTGCCTGCTTGGGATTTTGATTAGTGGTGGGTCATTTATCCACATACTGTGGAATTTGGGATTTCTTGTACATGACTTACATTCTTTGAGTAAGAGGATGGCTTTCACAGTGCCCTTTGATAATTTCTGCTGTAGCTCATGGTAGTAAGGTGACTAATTGATAGGAAACATCTCTGTCTTTTTGTTAGAGCTTCTGACTTGTGGAGGAGACAAGGGGCCTCTGTGTTTTGGCAGCAGGTTCTCTGGTGTTTTGGTAGGCCTCAAGGCTTTGCTTTGTCCTTTCTCAAATCTGTTGCTCCTTCAGTGTCTATATAAAAATTCAGTCTTTTCCTGGAGATTGCCATACACTGAGTCCTAAATGAGGACTGCACAAGTGTGTGGGTGTTAACTTAAAGGAAGTTGAGGCACTTGGCATCTTTGAGGACTTTGAAGGTATCCAGCGGCTCAGCAAGGCAAGCAAGACAGCACTTACAGGACAGCGGGGACTTCGGCTGTGCTGGGAGGCTGGTGTCGGTATGGAGCCCCGGGAGTCGGGCCGTGCCCAAGACTTGGCTTTCATTTCTACCAGCACTGCACACACCTAAGGGAACCTTTTCTAAATTAGCTGCTTTGACCTTTCCTGGGTTGATTTTGCTGTTTTTCTTGTTTAAGATGGGCTGTAGCCAGATGTATTCAGATCTCCTTTTAATTACTTTCTTCCTTTAAAAGAATTGTTCCATAAGAAGATAGAGTTTTAGGTTCCATATATTTAAATGTTTTACCCCGTTTGCTAGGATTTACTTTTGTTGTTGTTGCTTCTGAAAGCTAAGAGCTGGTTTACTGTTAGCTTTATTACTTTAGCCTGGCGGGTGTCAGCCGGTCACACACACCAGCTGACAGTAAATGCAATTTTCTTAGGTGGATCTGTTACTTTTGGTCTAAGTTTTGCTGAAGGTGGATCATCCCTTCATGGCATCTGAAGATGCATTGTGATGTAAGGCGGGTGGACAGGCCCTAGACGCACACAGGGCAGCGTGAGCACGTGTGGCTGGCCTGACAGCAGAGCCGCCTAGAACAACAGGCCCGTCCTGCTGTGCACTTCTGCAGTCTGGAACATTGAATACTGAGTTTGCAAAATAATTTTCTGAATGAGAATTTGAGGACAGATGAAATGGAATGATTTCAAGACTAGGAAGTGGAGATGTGGTTCAAATGGCAGAGCACCAACCCTGAGCAGAAAAAGCTATAAGCAAGAGCAGAAGGCCTTGAGTTTAAGCCCTATTACCTGGCTGTCTTTCTGGAAGTCAAGTCTCAATAATGAGGGGCTGGAAAGGTGGCTCAGTGGTAGAGTGCTTGCCTTGCATGCATGAGGCCCTGGGTTTGATTCCTCAGCACCACATAAGCAGAAAAAGCCAGCAGTGGCGCTGTGGCTCAAGTGGTAGAGTGCTAGCCTTGAGCTGAAGAGCTGAGGGACAGCACCCAGGCCCAGAGTTCAGGCTGCATGACTGACTGACAAAAAAAAAAGAAATCTCAATAATGAGGTTTTTTCCTTTTTTGCATGCAAAGACTATTGCTTCCTTTGCTTCCCTTTTTTTTGCTGGTCCTGCGGCTTGAACTCAGCCTGGGTGCTGGCTCTGAGCTCCTCTTTGCTCAAGGCTAGCTCTCTAGCACTTAAGCCATAGTGCCATTTCCAGTTTTTTCTGTGATTAATTGGAGATAAGAGTCTCCCAAACTTTACTACCTCAGCTGGTTTCAAACCAAGATCTCAGGTCTCAGCCTTCTGAGTAGCTAGGATTACAGGCATGAGCTACCGGTACCTAGCTTATTGCTTTCATTTTTAAATATGCTAAAATGGTTCCAAAGCTTCCTAGTACAAACCATTTAGGGGCACATTGTTCAGAAACAAGCATGAGGTAATGATGCCGCCGATACCTCTGCCTGGCTTGTGTTGTCAAACACAGGGTTGTGCCACAAGTATTTGGCGATAATGTTTGCTATGGTACACGCAGCATACTGCTTTCCTCGCATACGTTCATGTGGGTTGAAGGAGAGAGTCAGTCGTGCCTGGCACAGAGGACAGTGTTTCTGAGTGAGTGCCTGCCTCACATGGCCTACAGAGCCAGCAAGACATGGAGGCGATTCCTGAGCTCAGATGTGTGGTGCCAGGGCCTGTCCCCAGCTGTAAATCAGAGTCCTGGAAGCGTGCAAAGCTCACTGGGCACCATACGATCAACTTACGCAGTAAGAAGGAGAGGTTGATGTGCCATCTGTAACAAAGCAATGGCTACACCATTAAACTTCCTAGACCTTTGATGGAAGGACCTCGAGATCCAGTTTTCACTTTCTCTGTGGGTTTTATTGAAAGACCCACAAAGGTCAGGCAATTTGCAATGAGGTCCTTTTCATTAATGCTTGCTGAAATCCGTGCCTGGCTCCCTGTGGCCGTGCAGGGAACGGTCGGGTGTCTGCTGGCGTTCCTGTCCAGGGTGCAGGAGGCTGCCAGCTGTCACCGTACCAGTGTCCCAGGGTGCTCGGCAGACCACTCATTTCCTTGCCGGTGCCAGAATGCTCAGACTTTCCCTCCTCACTTTTCTAGCTGTGAGTACTCAAAATTAGATATTTTGATAAAGGTGATTTGGGTTCAGGAAGGAATTTGGAGAAATCACAGTGATTGCATTCATTTCCAAAGCCTGCCAGACTCTTTATCTGCCCTGTGTTTCCTTGCCTGGCTGATTGAGCCCTTTTCTAAATAATTTATCAGTTTGCCACTGGAGAAATCTTTCTTCTGGTTAAATTTAAGACTTTTCCTTATTACCTTTAGGTGCATAAATTTGTGTTCTGCAAGAGATTGGAAGAAAAATGCCAACTGTTGTTTCAACTGAAAATGTGCAATTTTGTCCTGAGCCTCAAGCGGAAGTTTTATTGGGAGCTGGGGATAGGAGCTTATAAAGCGGGCTGCAGACAGTGAGGACTTAATTACTTTAGGAACTTGACCAGCAAATTGGGAAGTGTTTGGTAATTTATCCTAAGATGCAAGTCACGAACTGCAGCATAGAACCGGATGCAGCCGCTTGAGCTCTGCCCTGGGGTCTTCTTCCTCCCAGCCAGGATCAGTGGCCACGCCCTCTCGTGAGTGAACCCCGGGGTTCTTCTTGTGGCTTCACAGAAGCTCATTTACTGTGGAAGGTGAAGAGACTTCACGAACTTGTGTTGGTGTCAGGTACTGGGATGACCACTGGCCTCGTCCATTTGTCCCATGCCTCTGTCTGTCTCAGGACACGCCCTCAGTGTTGAAGGCATTCTCTTCATTCGGACTGGTCATGCGTGGTGAAGGCTGTGCATCCTGGCCGTAGCCACAGGGTTTTCAGAGAGCCAAATGATCAAGAGTCAGTTTTTTGTTTTGTTTTTGTTTTTGTCTTTGTTTTGGTTGTTCATGAGGCTTGAACTCTGGGCCTGGGCGCTGTCCCTCAGCTCTTCAGCTGAAGGTGAGCGCCCTACCACTTGAGCCATGGAGCCACTTCTGATTGTTTTCTGAGTGGTTTTATTGGAGATAAGAGTCTTGGACTTTTCCTGCCTGGGACTGGCTTTGAACCGTGATCCTCAGATCTCAGCCTCCTGAGTAGCTAGGATGCCAGGCGTGAGCCACAGGCGCCTGGCTCAGGAGTCAGTTTTAAGATGCCTGGAAGTTCTTAGGTATCACTCAAGTGATGTTTTATGGATTACATTGAACAGACTTTAAATCACAGCTTCCCTCAGTCCATTCTGCTTAGGCAGTCACAGCTGATTTGTGGTCAAGGATAAAAGGTGGTGCTTCCTATTAGATAAACATATTTTATAGAGCTTACTGCTACGCAGTAGTCATAAAGGCCGCTCTCTCCAGCAGAACAAGGCTCACCTACTACAAGCCATGGTCCTGCTTAGTTTCAATGGCCATCACCTTCCTTGAGGACAGCCTCTAGAGCCGCTTGGAACGGTGGAAGCTGGTGAGAAAGGGTAAAGAGGCCATGGACAGACTTGTCCCCTGGGTTTTAGGTAAAGGCATTACTTGAAGAATTTAATTTCTCTCTCTCTCTCTCTCTCTTTTGGTCGGTTGTGGGGGCCTGAACTCTGGGCCTGGATGCTGTCCCTCAGCTCTTCAGCTCAAGGCTAGCGCTCTACCACTTGAGCCACAGCACCACTTCAGG